CTTGCAATAATTGCAAAACGTGATTGCAAAACTCCGAATGCACGTTCAACATCTTTTCGGCACGATTCTTGTTTCATCACGAAATATTTCTTCTTTTGGGAACGAGGATCACGAATAGTTTGAACAATTGTAGACCATTTAGGATATATACCATCAACTAAGTAATAACCCATATCGTATTCTTTTCCTTGAATAACATAATGGGCGGGAGGTGCAATATCGCTAGCAAGATTGGAAAATAAATGTGATGACTCTAAAACATTAATATCGTTATTGGTGCCAGGCAAACCAAAATAAGCATGCCATATCCAAAAGTCATAATCAACAACAACTTCAAGAATAATTGTTGGTGATCCACTACGACCTGCGTATTGCCCAGCCCATGCCGTTGGACAATTTTTCTATTTCCAGTGCATGCAATCTAGACTACCTAGTCACAATCGCAATCATAACCACAATCGCAACAATTCTCGGAATCATATCCTAATTTTTTTCCGAATAGTGCTAAATCTGAAAACGACCTACCGGATTACTAAATTATTGTTGTGATCAATGAATTATTATGTTATGTATTGTATTGTTATCTTGTATTTAAATTATCATATCATGTATTGTATTTTAAAATTAAATTTTTTCTATCTTGCCATTTTAATTTTGCGTATTCTTTATAATGAAAATTAATCACGAAAATTAGAAAAAAAATTAAAATACTATTAATTTGAAATTAAAATAGAATATATTAAATAATATTTAAAAAAAATATTATATTACATTTAAAAAGAATTATGAATATTAGATATTTAATTAATGGAATTATATGTAAAATAATATGTTAATTAGAAAGTAATAGAAATAATAATAAAATAATGAAAAAGTGAAATAGAGAGAGTGAATAATAGTTTTCCAAATTTGGAGAACTACTATTCAACTCTCTAAATTTGAAGAATAGAGGGTGATTTGGAGGTGGGTTGGAGTGCCCATTCTCTATTTTACTCTCCAAATATAGAGAATGGAGAGTAAAATAGAGGTGGGTTGGAGATGGTCTAAGGCCAGAATATAGACATACAATAAAGAGTCAACAATATGATTCTTCACAAGAATAACCAACACTAAGGCAGACAGTAGTACATTCATCAACTTCCAATATGCGGCTAGCAACATTCATCTATAGCTAGTCATTCTAACATTAAGAAAGCTCTTTCATTCGAAAATTTTCAGCTAATCTCAGTAGGATCTATAACAATAAACGAAGCTCTATATCGAGCATTAAGACCTGTAGTTAATGCTCGACGTAGAGTCAGTTCCTCCGAGAATGGCATGCTAAAGATAGGTTAACATTCCAGCGGGAACACAGCAAGTCCTCACCTCCATCAAGATTCAACTCTATGTCATTGATTCTAAAAGCATTTGTACAAACAGAGCAATTGAAAGCTTACCACGAAAGGGTCCTATCATAAGATGAAACTTATTCGTATAACACTAATCAATACAAGCTTTATCTAACTCTATTAACATCGTGCTAATATCCAGGAGCACGATGTTGATTAAATAAGATAGTATAAAACTGAAAGATCAAACCATATTTCCGTATACATTTTATTAATGTGGCACCAAACTAGGGATGCCTCCCATGTACAAGTGACGTATATGCTGTATCATTGGAGACCCTGTACAACAGACATCCTGCAAAAGATGTATAATTACCCTCTGATAACATGAATTTGCCTACAAAAACGCAAAAGATAAACTATGAAATTTCAATGGCATTATGATTTCTGTACACTTCTCTCCTCATCTCCGCCTTAATACTTGAAAGAGTCAAGGAATAGACCAAGAGTCAGCCCAGTTTTCCAATAATTGAACATAATGATGATGCCCCTTACCCCATCAATTAAAGGAATAGATCTATACATGAGAGCTCCAATGCCCTCTACCACAGCCACAGCTAATCCAGAAGAAATAATATCCCAATCACCTGTCTGCCCTATTACAGTGGCAAATGCGGTTGCACAATAGAAACCCACTAAGAAAAACAGCAACTTCATTGGTAGGTTTTTTCTCAACACCTTAATTCTGGCATCTAGTTTGACTAGAAGAGCCTCTATGGCCCTAATAAGTCGAGTTCCACTGCTACCGCTGGTTGTAGGAGAAGAATCTAGTCCACTGCCATCTGCAGCACTTCTTATAGACCATGACCGCCTCCTATATTGGAATTAAACTCTGAGATACATGGGTAGAAACGTCTCATTTATAAGTCTCTTGAGCAAGGATTTAGCACTAAACAAAGATTAGCAAATAGCATACATTTTCTTACAAGCCCTGGCAGGAACTTTCAAGGTACTTAGTTATTTGAACAATCTAAAATATCTCAAAAGAGAGAATTTTAGATTTTCCCAATTAGGGCTAGGGAAACTTGTGGGAGTGCATAGGACAAGAAAACTTAGAATCCATAATGGGAGTAAACTTGGACTTAGACAAGACAGATGTAGATATGGAGAAGTTATTCAAACGTAAACCACCCATAGTCAGAATTGATTACTTTTGAGTAGAAATTTGGAAGAAAATTATTTAGGAAATGAGTTTATGAAATGATGCTAACATTCTTTCTTTCCGAGAATAATTAGGAAGATCACATTCTTTCATTCCGAGTAAAATTAGGATTTCTATCTTCCAGCCACTCAGTTTCTTGTACTAATAAAGAATGATAAAAAGAGAATCTTCTAACAGTCTTTAATCCTTATGTCTTGGCTTCGCCATACGGCTCAATGACCAATACTGCAAATTGACAAACTAGGTAATGGAGAACCCTTGATATCTTTGCGTATTGTTGCTTATTGAAAAAACGATTTTTTCTTATTGTTATTAAAAAAGAGATTTTTCTGTAAGGGAAATTAAATCTGGGAGAACCTGCTGATATCATACATGGTTCCTTGTTATGCATGCTATCCATTTGTTGTGGAGGGGAAGGGGCACAACCATCAAACTAAATCAAAGTTTCACAATGACAGAGGGAAAAACTCACTTGAAATTTCTGAAAGAATAAGGCTGGATAATATTAGTAAAAGATAGCTGGAAATGCATGATTCTGCCTAATGAATGTGCAGCTCTCCTAAGGCAGACAGCTCCATTAAATCTTGATCCCGTTTGATCAGCACTGAAATGCTTAGAAATTGTGGGACAGCTTGGTAAAGGCAGTTTGGCAGCCATGCCTTGTACGAATCTGTTAAAACAAAACACAAGGATCAGCAAGAACCATGAAGAGTTTTGGAAAATGATATATTCCATATGTGTTTCTTACTCCTGGAATGATTCAACATTAAGGATTATGTAAATGAGACAAAAGAAACATTTACCCTCACATTGTTATGTAACACACTTATATTATTTTCCTTTTTTAAAATAATGGTGTCTAAGACAGCTGAGTAGACCAACCCACAAACTAAAGAAAATGAGCTCACGTGTGTTGTAGCTTCGACTCAAACCTTGAATCTCCAGGTTGTTACTCCTATATCTCAACTACGGAACTGTCCAAGGATATTCCTTTCAGTTTAATGAAGCATACCAGCCCATACAATTTACAAAATTGAACTCTCTCCTATTTCACCTATCATAAGTCCTATCTCGAATTGGAAGAATGCAAAACAAAGATACTTCATCACAAATTCACCAGGAAAGTTAAAGCTTGAGGAGAGACGGGTGTTAAGAGACAATCAAATGCAAATTGACCACAAAAATCTCATCAGAAGGTAGACTAACCATGGATGGAAATATGGAATTGATGGAATATTAAAGCTTATAAAAAAGCTTACTTAGATTTCAATTATAACTTCAAATCAGTCTTGTATTACATCAATGTGGCAAGGCTTTTGTAATCAAGAAACAATCTTTTTTTCTCTGTCCTGATTACATTAGTGTCTAAATCAGCTTCTTTGCACCTTGACTACTCCCACCAACACAGGTACCGCGTACAAGAAACAATTTCAAAATGGAAAGTTTAAAATAAGCTTGATGACACTGAGCCACTAACTTATCAGAGAACATAATACTGAGCAGATACATTTACAATTCTACAATTTCACGATAATACTAGTTTCTGGAGCTTCGACAATTGCGTCTTACGGCCATATTGAAGACATAGCACCATTTTCTTATCTTTTCATCGCTATCTACTATAGTTACATAATCTAAATTTGCTCCCATTACGGCTACATCAATACATTAATTAACAACAAATGCAAGTAATTAACCATAAAAAATACATAAAAATGAAATCAATTAAGCTGTCCTTGAAGAAATTTAAGGAATTGAGAAATGATAAAATTAGGGTTACTTTTTCTTTCAGGGGAAAGATGAAGAATCAGAAGAAGAGCTTAATACCTATCGGCTTCTGATTATCTCCGGTCAATTTCCTCTGGCGGCGCCGGTGAGAGAAGCCGCCGTCCGTCGTCTGTCCCGCCGACCAATTATACAGTCGGAACAGTGTCATTAGTTGCCATTTTGTTGAATTCTCCTAAATAGTTACCGAGACGAGAGATTTACAATTTTAATTATATAATCCACTTGTATAATTTTATTTTATTTTATATAATCTACATTTTAAATATTTTATAACATAAAAAATTAATCAATTATCATACGTTAAACTGATAAGCTGTCCATACTTTCGCTCTAATAATAAGGTTCAAATCTCTAGATTATCGTAAATATTCTTCATTTCAGTTTTAAAATTATGAGTTAGAATCACCAAACCCCACCTAGTGGGATTTCACTGGGCATGTTGTTGTTGTTGTTGTTGAGTTAGAATCACCAAGGAGCAATATAAATGAAGAGTTCGTAGAAAAGGATAAAAAAAGTAGAGAAAAATGATTAATATAATAAGATTAGAGACGTCCGAACAAACTATTCGTTTATTAAATAAGCGTGATATTGAATTATATAAATCTCAGTATAAATTTTTGCATATTGGCATGGTTCAAATTGCTTTTAAACCTTTAACTCTTAAAGGGTTACCAGAGACTTTCTTAGCTGTTCTACGAGATGCGAGGAATTTAAATTTTCGTCAATCTTTGATGGGTTTGATAGAATCTACAGTGGCCTATGGTCCAGTTTATTTTAATGCTCAGCCCAATTTGCAGTTATCTTTGACTGATTCTAATATATTAGATGCTTTAACTTTGAATGTTAAAACTCATGGTTATAACTATGCACCTGGATCTGAATTAATTTGCTTGTCTTATAAAATTTATTATAAACTACTTGCTACTTTAAATCCTAGATGTAAATTATACGATACATCTAATCAAACTATTTTGGTAGAAACTAATTTTGCCAGATCTAAGGTCACTACTAGAAGACCTATAAAATGGGAAGAAATTAATTTTCCTACCACTTGGGTTTTAGATTCTGTTATACCCCCTGAGCAAATGACCGATGCTGTCACTAATTCTGAATATTCTCATATTATTCAAAATTCCGATGGAAAAATTTGTATGCAGTTTGATGATAAAAAGTGCTCCTTATAATAGACATTCATTTGCTTCTGATAGAAAATTGGTTATTCAGCATATTTCTCCGATAGAACCTTTTTATGGTCCAGCTAGAAATCACGCTGCCTCTTTGCATACTTTATCAATAGTTATATCTGCAGAAAAATAAAAAATAAAAATTGATCCTCGATTAAACATTGTTCAAACTAATGACAAATCATCTGATATTTCTGATAAGGATATTCCTTCTGCATCCGAGATGGATTTTAATCTAAATGATGCTTAATGATGAGTGAACATCAAATTGATTTTAGTCCAGGATCACTGGCAAGAAAATATATTCAGAATGAATTTTCAAATGAAAAATGGAACCAATTTAAAACATGTTTTTTTGACTCTTATAGTGAAAAAGATTTAAATAATATTTATCAAGAATTTTATGAAACCTGTGCTCTACATAATCATATTATGTTCTTTGTGCCATGGTTTATAACCACTTATTTACCTTTATTCATCAACGTTCTTGAAAGATCTTACAAAGATGAATCAGGTAAAATTATTAATTCTATTTATCCTCCTCAAGCACCGTTTGTTTTACCTAATAATGCAGGTATTACTTTTACTGCGTTTCAAATTTTTTTATTGATGATAGGGTTGCCACAGTAAGCATTAATGAAATTAATCGTCTTATTTCTCAAAATAATTATTTGTGTCTGTATGTTAAAGTTATTGGTGAACATATTTGTTCTCTTGACAAAAAGTTAGATAATCTAACTTATTTGATTATTCTTATTGATGATAAGCTGAAATCTGTGAAACAAGTTTCCGAACAGGCTTCTACATCAAAACATCCTGATGTTCCTATTCAAAGACCTCCTGAGATTCAGGATTTTATTCTTAGAACTCTTCATGATCTTGAAAGCCTTTTGGATAAAAAGTTTTCAGAATTTGGCGCAAGCGTAAAACCTATTAGCCTCGCTGAAGATTTTGCATTTTGGCGCAAGCGCAAAACCTCTAAGCCTCGCTGAAGATTTTGCAGATGAAATGGAAGTCACTTTCGATTTTAAGACACAAGTGGAAATGGAAGTTAATAAACTTCATGGGTATCCAAAAAAGAATAGTGGTAATACTGCTTATGCTAGAAAACCTAGTATGCAAACTTACTACTATCCCAGACCAACTCCTTAAGATGTCTTAATAGAGGAAAGAGATTGGAATCAAACTAACACCTCTTATAGTGGAAGCGAGATTTATGAATGAAATCTCGATGGTTTGACTATTTTAGTTCATAGGATGCTTATGTATGCTACCATCTGCAAGAGTGTTAATAACACTGACAGGACTATTTGCAAGATGATTATTGCAGGTTTTACGGGTCAATTAAGAGGTTGGTGGGATAATTATATGACCCTTGATGCAAAGGCAGTTGTCATAAATGCTAAAGCTACAGCCGAAGGAGTTGATAACCTAGGATTTGCTTTAGTCAAAAATAGAGAAGACGTTGTTTATACCTTAGTCTTAACCATACTAGAACATTTTGGTGGTAGATTTACCAATCAATATGAAACAATTAGATATTTACTAAATGGTCTTAGATGTAGACATTTAGGTGAGTTTAGATGGTATAAAGATACTTATTTAAGTCAGGTAATGGAACTTTCCGAAAATGGTTTAGAATTTTGGAAAGCCAAATTTATTGATGGTTTACCTCCTTTATTTGCAGAAAGAGTGAAAAAGACTCTTAGAGATCCGCAAGGAATTATTCCCTATAGTAATTTTACTTATGGAAAGCTTATTGGAGCTTGTACGCAAGAAGGCATAAATTTGTGCAATGAGTTAAAACTCTCAAGACAGCTTAAGATGGATAAGCTTAGAGAAAAGTCTCAATTGGGAGATTTTTGTACTCAGTTCGGTTTACCAGATACTTCAAAAGGTACCAGCCGAGAAACTTCTAAATCGGAATCTCATAGATCTCATCATAAGAAAAGAAGATCTAGAAGAAGGACTAGAGAAGAAAGAGATGAGCGTGGGGCTCATAGTAAATCTCATAGATTTACCAAGAATAGGTCAAGGCGAGATCTTAATAAGATTAAGTGTTATAAATGTGAAAAATTTGGGCATATAGCTCCAAATTGTAAGCTTGAAAAGCTTAAGACTCTAGAACTTGATGAAGATATTCAAGTAAAGATTTATAGTTTTCTTTATGCTTCTGGTTCCGAATCAGATTACGATGATTCTGAAGCATGTTATGCCATAGAGGATGAGCAACCTGAATCTTCTAATAAGATGCAACAAGATTCGAATGATGCTTGCAAATGTCATGGTGATAGTTGTCACTATGAACATGATGAATTCTACAAGCTACAATCTCAATTCGAAGACATGAATATGTTTACCATCTGTAACGACTCGGAAAATGATAGAGTGAAGCCTTTTTGAGGGTCTACTTTGGAGGGTCATATCTCCTAGCACACAAATTATTTGGGTGGCCAATAATATATTCATGGAAAGCCCTTTGAGTTAGCTACCTAACGCACTTTGTTTCACCTCATTCGGAGTTCGGACGAAGAAGTTATGCCCATTTTCGTAAAATCTGTCCGGCAGGAAAGGCAATTTCCAGTAACCATTTTTACTGTTCACCCGCCTCTTTTTTTTTCTAAGTGTTGGA